TCAAACCCTCGACCCTCCAGTGCACAGGTCTATGCTCTAATCACTGAGCCACGCTGGCCAGGCCTGCTGAGGGTTTTTAACATATTCATACCTATACCAGATTAAGGAAACTGTTCCATTTCAGTCTTTGTCAGGAATACCTGTTGAATTTTATTAAGTGCTGTATCTTAATTTCCCCTTTCTTATGCTATATACTCACTACTAATTTTTTGTATTAAAAACATGATATAATTAGGCTTTCCCCCTTTTCTTATACTTTTGAAAAGGTAAGGGAGAAAAATACTCTTTCAAAATTAATGAATCCTTTAGACCTAAGAGTAGTGCTGTATCTCAGAGCAGCACCAAAAATGCTAGATGAATTAAAGAAGTGAGAGCTAATTATGGCAGTAAGTTATGGACAGTAAATTATGGGCAGTAAGTTTAAAACAGCAAGTAATGTAAAATGTGGCTAAATCATCTCAGGATAAATTATCTTGTCAAACACATTTACCCAGTCTTTCCATTATCAGTTGCTTCTGTTTATGTTTGTGTTTATTTTCTGAAGATAAACAGAATAGTCTAGGAAACTCCACAGTCATTCAATACCTGAATGGCAAAGATAGTTGACACTTTGTCCATGTAGCAGACATTTTAGCCATAGGTGAAGTCAACAACTATTTTTCTACAGCCTTACCATTTCAGCATTCCTAGCTTCTCAGTCCGTGACTGGATATAGTGACTCAATATAAATATGGCTCACCTCTTTCCCTGTTCTCCTATTCCAACCTCGCCTTTAATTTGCAAGTCAGCTCATAATTTTATAAGAAAAGTTTGTTTCTAGTTGCCTGTTATGCACTCTGCTGAAAAACATTTCCCAAATGGGACTTTATCACTCTTGGATCTTGTCATTGCCTTTGAATGACAGATTTGATTTGGGTCAATACTAAAATCAGGCTCCCATTCAAGCTAAGAAGTGAACCCTAGGACATTTAGGGTGGAGATATGAAAGGGGATTGAGGTTAGCAATGAGATGGGAAGGGGAGTGGGCAGGAGTGCTAAAGAGTGAGGTGTCACCAGTGAAGACAGCTTTGAATAGAGTCACTCCTTGGAACACCACCTGTGATAGGAATGCCACCCGAGAAACACACACTGGCTGCTGCCTGCCCAAGCTAAGGCAGATTTTGAAAGAGCTAGATCAAACAGTACTGTGGAGTAGCTTTTTCCAAACTGTGTTCTATGAAAAGTGTACCTTTTATCCCATTAATAGACATTTCAGTTCATATTCTTTTAAATTTTTTTTAATTAATTTTTTTTTAGAGAGAAGGGAAGGGGGGGGAGAGAAACATGGATTGGCTGCCTCCTGCACACCCCCTACTGGAGATTGGGTCCAAAACCTGTGCATGGGCCCTGACAGGGAATCGAACCAGTGACCTCTCTGTGCAGGGGCCGATGCTCAACCAACTGAGCCACACTGGCCAGGGCTCAGCTCATATTCTTATATTTGATGACCTTAATTTGTGGAATACCTATTTCATAGGATTTGTTTTTTGGAAAACACAACTTGGTCCAAAAGGAGTGAGGGATGGTCCCCCAAGCCTTGGTTGCTATAACTATTTGGTGTTGATACTATAATTTGTAAGAAAATGGAAAGTAAAATGCTGATAGAATGATGTTCCTTATATTGAGGGACTCCTTGTTATCAAACATGAATTATATGCTTACTGTTGCATTGCATATTCTTACTCTCAGTTTCTTATGTTATCCTTGGATGGCTGTTTTGTGTGTGTGTGTTTAAATTTATCTTTATTGTTGAAAGTATTACAGATGTCGCATTTCCCCCTGCCACTGATCACCTCCACCCTGCATCCCTCCGCCCCCAGGCCTTCTCCACACTATTGTCTCTATCCTTGGGTTATGCATATATGCATATAAGCTCTCTGATTAATCTCTCCTGCCCCCTCTCCCTCACCTGCTCCTTCCCTCTGCAATTCATCATTCTGGATTTTTTTTCTGTATCCCTTTGGGTAATGGCTTTCATTCATTTATTTATTGAACAAATATTTATCGAGTGCCAAATGTATTCCAGGCATTGTGCTGGACATTAATGACACATGACATCTTTCTCTCTCTCTCTCTCTCTTTCCCTCCCACTCATGAAATATCATGTAAAAAGTGCTATGATAAATGAAATACAAGGTGCAAAGGGAGGGCCTCACTAAGATTTGGATCTAGAGAAGGTTCCCCAGAGGTAGCAATGTTTAAAATGAGACCTGAAAAACAGGTGGGAATTATGGAGGTAAAGTGGGTTTTTAAGTAAAGAAAAGATAAAAAGTCATAAAGAGAAGATCTGGAAAGTGATAGAAAAGAGCTTGGTTGAAGAATTGAAATAAGTTCTGGTTGTCTAGATAAAGTGCAAGGGAGACAATGATGGGAGGTAAGGCTAGAGAAGTAGATACGAACTGAATTGAGAAGCACCTTGTAAACCAAAATAAGGGATTTGAAATTTATCCTGAGAGAAATGAAGAGCCTCAACTTAAAGAGTTTTAAACAGGGAAAGATCATTCTGGCTACAGTGTAAGGCAGGACCAACTATTGTGAGACCTGCTACTAGAGTAGTCCCGGGAAGAAACACAAGTTACCTGGCCTTAGGCTGTCACCGTGGAAATGCTGTGAAGATGACCGGCCTAGCATACATTGAGCCCGGAGAACCAGCTGGTCATGGAGAGTGACTGGGTGATGACGGGGAGGGCTGGGTCAGACATCACGGTGACACCACTCCCTGCCAAAGGGAGCACAGGAGGGACAGCGTGGTCGGGGGCAGAGGGCAAGTTCAGTGCTGCACGTGCTGAGTTTGAAGTGCCTGCCGCACCAAACACTGCAATCAAAGCTGGAGTCTGGAGGGAGACAGGGGCACACTGATGGTAACTCCGTTCATGAGGCTTTAGGGGTTCGCTATGGGAAAGTAGTTTGGTGGAGTGGCGAGGGCAGAGCTTAATAGTGGATGGAGGAGTGAATGGGAGGTGAAGGAGTGGGTAGGGTGAGTATATAATCAGCTTCTTAGAAGCTTGTCTCAGAAGGGGAGGCAGGAAAGAGAGAGGGCAGCTACTAAAGGGGCACATGGTGATGAGAAAACGGAAGACGCCTGAATGTGTTTAAATGTGTTAGGACAGGATCTGAAGAGAAGTGGACGGACCAGAACAAGACCCCTGAAATGGAGGTGGGGCATCGGGGGCAGAAGTTAGCCTTACACAGAATGGGGTCACGAAAAGCCTAGTGCTTTATATCAAAGTATCTCAGTGGTAATGGGGGGCTACTGGAGAATTTTCAGCAAGGGATTAGCATGATTAAATTTCCCTGAAGAACTGTTTTTGGTGAAGTGGGTTTCGGCTCATGCACTTGTCTTACACTGAGGAACATTCTAGAAACCTGCTGTTAGATTCATTGTAGGGATGCTCTAAAGATAATGCCCTCTATAGGAAATCTCATATGAGAAACTTCTTATCAGCTTTGATTCTTTTGAGGAAGTAGTATGTTTTCACATCATGGATGATATAAACATGTAATTGATTTATTTCTTTTTGTTATGGACATCAAGAAGCTTCAAGCCATACAATTTGATGTCATATATTTTCATTATAACTTTCTTTGTGGTCTTGAACTTGTTTATATATGGTTTTCTTGGTTATATTTAAACTTATATATTTTAATTTCTTTCTAAGTGTGGGGTTTTCTTAACCCTCACCCAAGGATATTTTTTCCATTGCTTTTCAGAGAGTGGAAGGGAGAGAGAGAGAAACATCGACGTGAGAGAGACACATCGATTGGCTGCCTCCCGCAATCGCCCCTGACTGGGGCTGGGATCGAGCCTGCAACCGAGGCACGTGCCCTGGGCAGCAACTGAACCCAAGACCCTTCAGTCTGCAGGCTGAGGCTCTAACCACTGAGCCAAACCGGCTAGGGCTCTTTATAAGTGTTTTAATTTGCCACAAATTCTATGTGAAGTGAAATGGTAGGATAAATTCATAATAAATAAGACACCATATTTGCTTTCTCTGAATCACCCCCTCAGGGTGACACACAGTATGAGGCGAGGGGAGGCGGGCACTAGAGCAGGGAGGTCACTTAGAAGGCTCTTCTAAGAGTCCAAGAGAGAAATGGGGGGGCTACACTAAGGCAATAGAAACGGGGGCAAGGCGAAAGGAGCGATCTGAGAGATGCTGAGGGGGTAGAGTGCAGGGGGCTTGGCAGTGGAGCAGATGCTGTGCGTGGAAGGGAATGGGCGGGGATGGGACGCGGGTCCAGGATGCTCTGCGGGTTTTGTCCTGTTCGGATGGCGGGTGGGCTGGTGTGTTGACGCTAATGGGAGATCGGAGAGAGCACCAGGTGCGAGGTGAGGACAGAAACCTGGTCTACGTGGGACTGAACGAGCTTTCCCGAGGGAATGAGGCAGAGGAAAGCAAAAGCAAAAGCAGCGTGATCAGTGATCAGTGATCAGAGTCCTGATCAGTGATCAGTGATCAGAGTCCTGATCAGTGATCAGGTGGAGGAGGGAGGGCTGGGGAAGGAAACTGGGAAAGGAGAGCAGGGAGCACGAGAGCGTGGGGACATGGGGACTGAAGGAAGAGTGCGAGGCGGTGGCCGCGGTCAAGTGCATCGGACGCTGCTGGAGAGAGCAGGTCGGTGAGGCCTGAGGAGTGCGCGCGGTTAGGCAGGACCTGTGAACAGCTGGTGACCTGACGGAGGCCTCGGCCACCCCCACTCAGTCCATTTCAGTGACCGCCGGGCGCTGCCTTCTCACTGAATGACGGTGACTGAGCTGACGTGGTGGAAAGAGCAGTTCCTGGAGTGTAAGGAAGTCTAATTCATCAAGACGGAGAATTCTGAAAGAAAGGTGAGTTTGCAGGGGAAGCTGTCTGGAGGCATTACTATCTAGGAAACAGAGTACAACTTTTGTGTATTTTTTTAGAAAATCATCATGGCTAGATATGTGCATGAAGTTTAATGATGGTATTGCAATACTGTAGAAAAGTAGAATAAAATTATTTATGGACTGTGTTTAAGTCAGAGAAAACAGGCCAAGGTGTTCATGAACATCAATAAAGCTTTATAACAATACAATTCATTACCACTGTTTGGATTAATATTGTAATAATTACACACTTTGTACACATTATGAAAATAAGTCATAAATAGTGTAAAAATAATTCTGAAGATCAACTTCTCACAAACTAGGAACCCTGTAAACAAGTTAAGAAAGCAAATAAGGACAAATGAGAAGCTGAATACAATGCAATTATCTTCAAACTGCAAATTGAAAACCACACGCATCTTTGATTCAGCAACGTCAGTTGGAGAAATTAAAACGAAACTGAAATAAGAAGTCAAACAGGGAGAATTCAACCTTTCAATTATTTACACTACTGAGAAAAACGGGTTTGTGCCATATTTACAGTGATAACACACAACACATTCTTAGAATAATCAATTACATGAAACTGGCCCACAAAACATTAAGAAAAATATGCAGTGTAATGCTTGCCAAAATAGGTTTTTTGCATTTTCTTATTTCGTATTCATGTGATTTTTTTGGCAATATAAAAATAGCTGCACATAGAGATGAACTTTAAAATGTAAAAAATACAAATAAAAATATAATATTTTCTAAAGGAAAATCAGATACATACATCTTTTAAAAATGTTATTAAGTTGCATGAAACATTTACAACAGTATAAAGAATATTCACATAAATGTCAATAATATGTAAGACATTCTTTTGTGAATCCAATTTATTAATATTTCTGAGATATGTGAGAATATCAACTGCATTTTGAGAAATGATGGTACTCTATTAAGTTATTATTAAATTCTAATAGGTCAGGTTGACAATGTCCTCCTTCCTATTCCCAAAATGACAGTTCTGTCAAGAAGCAGCACAGAGAATCTTATGCATTTAAACACATTTTAAAAAATCAGACATGCCATTAAAACGTTTCAGTATTGGATTAATAAAAATTAAATCCACTAAAAATTTATGCTGGAAGGCTATCTGTGCTATGGCATATAGTAAATCTAGCCAATATGAAGATATTTCAACAAAAGTGGAAAGAGTAGGGACTGAAGGTCAGAAAAATCATCATTGGTCAATCATGTTAATTCCATTAGGAATGAATAATTTTAACAGCCAGAATCAAACACATGTAATTGTTCTTAATTGATATTTATGAGAATATAAGAATACGTTGCTGTGGTCTTGACTTCTAGAGATAGCAGGGATTTTGTTTTTTGTTTTGGTATAAGTTGAAAAAGTTCATTTTTAGCAATGTTAATATAACTTGATTATTAAGAAATAGAGAAATACCAGTAGTGACATATTCCTATGACTACTTATTAGAAGATATTAAAACACCACTCACCACGCAAACATAACTGACTTCTGAGCAAGATAACACATAGGGACAAAATAAAAAAGGAAAGGTGAAAAGTGGTGTTAACAGTTTATGCTACAATAGTAACATAAAAAAAAAACAAAACCCACCTTGGGAAATTAAGCACATTTTCAAAGTGATAAAAATATAAGATACCAAAGACAATCTTTCCATAGGTACTGACATGGTGATCTGACCATCTTCCAAACTAGCAAAGGGCATGTAGAATGAACTACTGGATGTGGAAGTTCTTACTTTCCTCTTAGAACATTATGCACAGGAAGTAAATTCAAGAACAGGCTTTTTGGGGGGATAGAAATTCCAGATATTCTCATGTTTTCCACAAAATCAAATAAAGAAGAAAAACTCCTCAAGACTGCTTTTCATAATAAAAATAAAAACTAGAAAAAATGTAGGCATAGTTGTGTGTCAGGTACTCTATGAATGTATGCAGACTCGTCTAATTCTGGTTTTGTCACACTAAATCAAATTATGTCAGTTAAAGATGAGAATGAACGTTGATGAAAGGCATATGGCATAGGAAAAGAACATGTAATAAGAGGATCCACAATCCAAGTAAGGACACATATTCCTACAGGTACACTGTTTTGTTAATGCAAAACAAGCATTAGAAAAGACTGGTCATTGAACCATAATTACAGCAAATTCATGAACTTCAAAGATAAAATCACACACTATCAGCTTAGGAATGCTATTAAACTGAGAAATGAAATTATCCATAGTAGAGCTGCACTGTCCATAAAGAAAACAAAAGAAATACATCAGCACCAACATGAATGAAAAACAATTTTAAAGCTAAATCACATACCAATTTGGTATCTTTAAAAGATGCTTATCAGAAATAGAACCTGATCTTGATTTATTTCCAATGTGTCTTTCATGCGTTTAATTCTCAACCCTCTATCCAATAATATAAATTAAAAGGAATAAATCTTTAAGAAAAATATGTATCTGCCAACACATATATCGGCAGACATAATTGATTAGTTCATTTGGCAATTATTTGAGGATTCCTTATAATGATGACAAAACGGATGCTCGAAAATATTTTAGTAACCAAAAGTTTTAGATCATCATAGTGGTTAAGACCTAGTAATTCCACTGAGCAAAGAGGAGTACTATCATCTCTTTGCTTGTCCCAAGGAAATAATTGTAATGGAAGTTAATAATTTTATTCCTTTAATCATGGAATAAAAGTCAATGTTGTAAGTCAGAGCAAAAACCCAATATATACATAGGACAGAATATCCTTTAAAGGGCTGTATTTAAAATTTTTTTTTGTACACAACATGATTATCTTTAGAGGTATTCTCTTTAGAAGCTGTGCAAGTTTTAAATAGTGATCCGTCTTAATACCTGTTTCTACTAGAGGAGTAGAAAGAAAGATACATAGGATGAAATGTAGCCACCAGATTTTTCTCAAGACACTACTGCTTGTTTTCCTGAAGAGACTGTAGTTCTACCTGCTTTAGTTCATTTTTCCAATCTACTTAAGACAAGTTGTTTCAGACACTGAACAATAATACCTCATCCTAACCATGACCTAGAAGAGATGGTTAGAGAAATGCCCTCTGTTGTTTTAAAAATGCCAACATGCCTTCAGAATGTGGAATGTTCCTAGAAATGTGACCAATTAGATTGATCTAATAGTTTGAACGTCTTTCCAATCTTGAAAACTTAATGGAAATAAAAAGAAGGCATTTTGTATAATTGAGCATTTGGTTATATAATTGAAAGAGATCATAAGGACCTTAGGATCCTTGTCTTACAATCATATCTTAACTGTCAGCATGAGTCAGTGATGAACTAATTTCCCCCCAGTGGTGAAAACCTATGCATGAAACTAGAAAATTTCCCACAAAATGGCATTAAGTCAGGAGAAAAATGGTATCGTCCCATGGGCTGAAAGTGACTACTCCTCATTGATGATGCTTCTCCTAATGGAACTCATTCATGTAGAATAAGCCATTTCAAAACATGCTACCAACACTTTACTGTGCAAAGAAATGCTCATTCTAATACAGTGAAGTAACTTTTGAGCAAGAAGATGAAAAAAATACTCTCTTTATGGCAACTATATGGCAACTAGATTTCACAGCTTTCTGAGATCTCAGATTTGGTCTGTGCATAAGACAAACACCTAGATATGTAAAAAAAAAAGGTAAAGAAATCTAAATAGAGACAAAACATATCTAAATAGAACTACAAAAAAATAGAAATAGAAATGAGCTAATACTATGAAATGTGACCAAATCTTGACTTTATCTTAACTGATAATCACTATGTATGTTATATTCATCATGTGAAAAAAAAAGGCAAAAAGTACTGAAAAAATTTCTTAACTTGGATACTTTACAATGACTGGAGTGAAAGTGGAGCTTCTTTTACATTCTCTTCAATTATTCAGAACAAGAAAGAAAGAAGTTAGTAAAAGGTCATCTTGACTGTTGGTTCCAAGTTATTAGAATTTGAAGACTTTGCTTTTAAAAAAATTGTTCAAACAAATATGACAAAAGCATTTCAGTTTAGTATTCCTTGGACTAAAAAAAGAAAGAAAAGAAAAAGTATTTAAAAGAATTGGAAAAATCTTCTGCTTCTAGAAGTTTGTCGAAAATGTTTGAAATGGGTTCAATCTTGGAAAGAAGGGAAGCTCTCACATCAGCTTCCATAGAGACTGTGGAGTGAGCTCCCTTCAGGACATGTGATTTCTTCAGCAACCTGAGCTTTGGTGGGATGTACACACCCTTCATCCTCAGAAACAGAGGCTGCCATTCCAAGAATCTTCTACCCAAAAGAAATGCTGCATGTCTCTGTCATTTTCCAAAAGCACCCATACTAACACCTGTTCGAATTCAGTTTATTAAAAACAAAAAGTCTGCTGTTCTGGGTGCCTGCGTTTGTAAACCTCTTTCCTACTTGGTCACAGGAGAGACAGCACAGGATGCTGAACCGGACCTCTTCCCTGGTCTTCACTGCCAAGGGCAGCCCAAGGAAAACCGGCGGCACAACCAGCTCAACCCCTTGATATTTCAACCAAGGTGGCCAGGTGAGCCCACAATACTGGAAGCTGTAGATCTGCAGTTGGGACTGCAACTCCCTCAAAATACAAGACCACTTGTGTGTGTGCTCTCCACCACCTTATCTCTTTTTGGCAATAAGCCATGGTGTAACCCCCTTGAGATGACAAAAGAAATAAAAGATCAGATGTGATCAAAGGACTCATCAAGAGGCATGCTAGCATCTGAAGTTGCACAACAAGCAGGGTTGGCACAGTCATGCTTTTTTAGTCGGTTTCAATGGGTGTTGTGAACTCAGTGCTAATAGTGAAGGTGAGTAGAGATGGGACAATAAACTCTAAAAGCAGTCAGTATGGTACATTTTCATAGTTTTGAGTCCATATTTGGTCACAATTTTATGTAAACTATTTCATGGTCCCTTTTGTCCATGCAATTAACAAGCCCAAAGTAAGAAAATAGCAGGAACAATCATTCTCTATCACTGATATGTCCATTTAAATACGTATCTTTACATAAGATAAAGAGATACTGATCTATAATTTTTGCAGGCTTCTCACTAGTTTCACATGTTGTCCAATTTTAGATGTGAGCAAAGGAAAGATGGACATATGCACTACTGCGAACAGGAAGAAGCAGCTCTATGTAAACATATCTCAGACTTGTAAAATCTGCCATTGGATTTTCAACTATAAATATAAAAAGTGGACCGTTATATACACAACTTCATGCTCGGAAGGTTAGTTTCATCACTGCAGAAAAACAAACAACAAAAAAGACAAATATACAGAATTAGTCGTCTAGGATAAAAATTCCAAATTAACATTTACTTTAAGAAGACTGGTAGAACCCTGAATAGAGTTGTGTGTGGTTTTTTTCAATCACGGAGCCAATCAATCTGTGTCCTACACATGCCTTTTCTAAAACTCCAGTGTCATCAACATTTCTATCCTGGATTCAACCCACATTTTCCTTTTGCTGCAGAGAAGTTTCTGGTTAAGTGTTTCAGTAACTATTCTGGGAAAGCAGAAAATTAGAATTTTTAACGTATATGTACCATAATTAGAGTACATGTCCTATTTATAACTTAGATGATCTCCAAGCATTAAGACCCACTGTGGGAAAGGCTGAGGATCCTGATCTCAGAGGCATTACTTGCTTCACCGACGCCCGACTCGGTTCCTCTTTCCTTCGCTAGTCCTGCTCTGCTGTGAATGACGGGAAAGGGGCACCAGCCCGCCAGCAGGTCTCTAAGCTGAATTACAGGTTCCACTGTATCTAAGGTGTCATAAATCTCTGGTTCCTCATAATTATTAAGGTTTTCCTAAAACTAAGGATAAGTCTGAGAGAACCGAGGGGCCATTGTCTTTGAGGTATAAACTTATAGAGCAGATCTTAGTGATGTTCACTTTTACTCAAAAATAAAAATCAGTGAGAAAGCAAAATGTCCAGTTAATTAATTAAAAACATTTGTTTTTCTCTCTCTAAGAAAAATAGATGCTACATTAGATGTGCTTATGAGGCTGGGAACTTTGTGATCTTTAGAGATGGAGCCCATTCTGTGTTTATGCATGTTGTGTTCACGCCAGAGAATGTGCCTACAGGAAGTATTCCTTTCACTAACTCTCACTTATCTCAAATTTTAAACAGGTACATTTTTTTGAATACCAGTGTTTTGCAAATAATCTACAGAATTTAAAAAATTTTCTCCTAGCCCCTAGATTTTAAAACTTAGTTTAAAAATCTGTCACCTTGTTTTAGGAAGGTTCTGCTAAAATCCTGTTAACTCTACCTGGAAAAATAAGGTCTAGTGAAACAATAAAAAATACGAAGGCTATAGGTATTTTTCCTATTAAATAGTTTTAATCTCTGGACAAGGATGGATGACAACTGTAGTAGTCTGTAAGTATTTTCTTTAAAATAAATCCTGCCATTTACTCACTGTACTAATTATACTGTGAACTGGTACATCATTGTTCATCAAAATTTAGAAAACTGAACTGTATCTAAAAAGAAAAGCAATTTAAACAAAGATCAAATTATTTGGCATGAAAAAAATTACTAGAGAGTAGCATGACCAAGGGGACTAGTTCATTAATCACAGTAATTTGCAAGGCTACCACAATCTGAATTTACCACTATGCTCCAGAGGCTAATAAACAGTATTTAAAAGAGGGATCCACATAAAACAGGACTAACTAAAAGGAATCTACTGGCCTTCTAAAAATATTTTAAAAATAATTTGACCTGACTAATAGTATATTTGAGATAGCTAAGTTGACCACATAAGAGATTTTAGAACATTCCATTTTTCTAACTGTTTATTCTTTTTGGGGATGAGGGTGTTGGCAGAGGTTGATCACAATGATTTGCTTGTGTGTGTGTGTTGGGAGTGTGGCAAACAATACTGAGTTCAATCATTTAATTTTTTTTTTTTTTTATATAAGAAGATGCGAGATTTAAGAAATCCTTGATCTTATGTAGACTATGGTATGTATTTTGCGGAAAAATGAGTACTTAAAAGGGAAATTTCTGATTTTCTGATGCCAGTCTTATTACTACTAGGATCGGCCTTTTTGTGAACCAAAATGATGAGTGCTTTGCTTGTCGCCACCATGGTGCCTGCACAAAAAGGACATGATTTAGAAGTGGCTGAAAATGATGTGAACCCAAGTTCAGAGTCATGTTAGAAGGCTGATTAAGCCTTTCACATTTACCTCTACGTAGGGTATGCCGATGACTGTGTTAAAAAATCATTACAGTATTAGATTACAGGTCAAAGGTCAAAGAGCAGACGGTAATTCCAGCTCAGTACGGTATTAAAATTCTGAGAACAGGGGTTATGATGGTGAAAGGATACTTTCCCCAGGTGAAGGAGAATATGATGATAGGCCCACCTTCCTGAGAACCACCTGAGCTCAGGTGTGACTGAGAGAATTATCTGACAGGCTGAGAGTGGAGTTTGGGAAGCTACTAAATAAATGATGCTGCTGAGAAACAAGGAAGGTGTTTCTTTCCCTGGTCAAGTAGGGTGAGAGTCGTCAAGCAAGAGAGTAAGTTACATAGGATCTCACCAACGTAGTTGATGACCTAAGACGAAACCAGGAGAGTCGAGTTACTCTTCATCGCTCTGCAATCCTATATAGTTTTAATTTTGCCAGTGAAACATGCCTGTCAAGAATTACTAAGCCACAAGGTTTTAGAGACAAAATTTCAAAATGATCAACGCAGCATGTACACTGCCCCTAGCTCACTGTTACATCAGTGGAATTCCTTTATCCCGCAGTAGCACAGATGCGCAGTCCCTCCTAGGGCCCCACGTCACTGTAAAGGCCTGGTGCTCCCTCAGCGCAGCACGAACGCAGCTCTTGCCTGCTTAAAGCTCTGCCACTGCTTCCCATCGTCTCCTTCCCATTCTGTTGCTTACTAGCTCTGTGCCGTGGAAGTTACTTAACCTCTCTGAATTTCAGCTTCCCCATTGGAATCATGGAGGATAACACCCGATGGGGTTACTGGGACGATTAAGTAAAATGACAGCCCTGACACGAAAGGGCTTATCACATAGAAGGGTCTCTGTTAGGAGAAGTTCCCTTCCCTACACTGTGGCCGTGGGTAGCTACGTGAAGAGGCTAGAATAACCCGATACCACAGAGGCCCCCCACTTAAATATAACCAGTCTCCTAAATAAATCAAGATATCACTGAAGGAAAAAGATCATGCTTACATTTTCTGCTTTCTCAGCTTTGTGATGAATATGGACAGGGTTCTACCATGTTATCTGCATGTTTGTCTAAGTAATTCAGTATACGTAGAAAAAGAATCATGACTAAGAATAGTTTTAAACAGTAGGGGGACAAAGAGTTTATTGAGAGACAAGCAAACCATTATGAAGATGCAAATGCCTGGCCTTTCCCATTCCAAAGAAAGCATTAGGTCCGGGAGGTTCCAAACGACAATGTTTGTCAAGAACTGTTTTCGCTCCTCAGTTTTGGAAGAAATTAGCAGTACACATAGTAATCGAAAGATATTGTAAAGACGAAATCTTTTTCTTTTTAATATCCAAACGTTCAGCAACGTCAAATTCAAAAGGTCTGCTGTAAATGGAAAAGGCTAGGCCAGGTGAAGGGAAAGGGAGAGTGCTTCTTTCAGAAATAATTCCATAAAGCCTACCTTTTGCCAACAGCCAGGCATGGGTAATCCATCCGGCCCCTGTTTGAAAGGAAGAATCAGGATTCCTTAGGCTCCACAAAAGTTCATACTTCATAATTCACATGCTCAGAGGCTTAACATAGATGGGTTTCTACTCATTAGGTAGCCCTAGCCATAGGCATCCTTTTCTAATTACAACAATTAACTCCCAATAGAATACCCAACGTTAGTTAAGATGAAGAAAATTCAAATGTTTTTCTAGGGAGAGTACACATTTTGAAAATACATAAAGTATAGAAAAAATATGCCTGATTTTGAAAAAGTAATTTACAAAGCATAGTAGTCTACTCAGTTCTACCTTTAGATAATAAATCTGTACTATTTCTCTTAATGTCATTAACTCACATAACACAATTATCGTTATTAAATAAAGCGAAGTAACTTCACCTCCTGGTTGCTATAGTGTATGTTGAATGCATGAGAATGATGAGTAATCAATGATGAACCATTTCTATCTGAAGTTTATAGCCCTTCATATGCTACTTTTCACTTTTCCATACTGAAAGCGGATACAGTAGAATATATTTAATCCATTGAATTAAAACATGGGCAGCCTATCTATATCTTTACAGTAAAATGTTATCCACAGCATTTATCAATTTTTCTATTAAAATTCTGCAGAAGCCAGTTGACAAATTCTGAATAAACAAGGGATTCCTAAATGTTGCAGAATTTATTTGTATTTACAGTGTGAACACTCTTCAGATACAAATGATACAAATAAAGCGGGGAGAGTTGGTATGGGATGAGGCATGCTTGTGTTTCCTCCCAACAAAATGATCGTAAAATATTATTTATTATCATTACCAAGCAAACAAAATAAAAGGCTAGGCACTTCACATTGATACTTTCTAATTGTAATTATAAACTAAATAAATATTTTCTGTAAACACAATCTCTTAAAAGACTTGAGAAACAACGTTATCTTTATAGAAACATGCTTAGCACTAAAAAATAATATAAAAACATGCAGACCAAGTATAACCATCAACACAACCATAAAATGTTTTCCTTTACACCTCAGAAAATATGAATATACTTTTTTTAAAAATGTAAAAAAACCTTTGAAATAACTTTATACGATATTTGGGAAAAATTCGGTAATGCCAGATTGGTACAAGGACAAGGATCACCCAGTAGAATTTTAGATTTTAGTATAAGGAGGATTTTGGGTTCATGCCAATGGAGATAAGGGAATTCTGTCTACTTTAGGAAAGTGAGTTTCAAAAGGAAGACCATTAAATTGAAAAGGTTATGTGACAAAGAGGAGGGTTTGGCTGTAGACTGTTATCTTTAGAAGCTGGAAGAAGCTTGGTTTACTTCCCTACGGTCTCTTCACAGCATCCCCTAGAAATGGCTAACTCTTCACCGCAGAAGCTTAACTCTGCAGGTTTGGCCTTACAGCCTGACAGAAATTTAGTGGGAGAGGTAAAAATGCCTTTATTTCCTTTAGAGGAGAAAAAAAAAAGTTCAATTTAGGGGTATATCCCAAAGTTATAGCCTAACTGTGCCTGTTCATAGAAGCTTTTAATGCAATTTTAATGTACTCTTTAAATAAATATTTCTTGAATAAACTGATATCCCCCAGAAGGCAGACCCATTGTCAGTTGTGAAAACAATGTCAGGAGATTAGTTTCCAGTCATTGGTAGAAATGCATGCATGCTCTCTTCACTCTGCAGAGTTGCTGAAGGAGCCATTCATGCACATGCATGTAGTGTGTTTAGCATGTAAAGCTTGGTCCAGAAGCACCACTTTACACTGAGAGAGATGAATATGTAATAAACAAAGGAACTGCATGCAGGGTGGAAGGAAAGAGAAATACTGTACCAATTGGCAAGGGGCATCCAGCCCATCCAGGCCAGGCTGGCCTGGCTCCCCTTTTTCCCCCTTAATGCCACGGAATCCCTGTTTGTAAAGATTAACTCATATAGTTACTAACAAGAAATCACTTACGCACAAATTCTGCTAAAGAAATAACCACAATAACAAAAGGCTGGGAGAGGAGCAACTCTGAAGTGACAAATAATACGCAGTGAAGTTGGACAAAGCTCTGCATACAATGAGGACTTGTCTGGGAACTGTGACCTCTTTTGAGGAGCACAGAACTAGGCTGGTTCCTCTTTGGATCCACCACTCACATTGGATCAATACTTGAGTGTTAAGAAACCAGGCAGAGCTGGTGGCCAGAGACAAGGTGTGGAATGTACCAGGACGGATATTTCTGGGACCTTGAAGTCTACGTTAAATGACCCCAGTCAGGACCCCTGCTCTTACGGTCCCTCCAGCTTGCTCTTCTCCCAGCTCATCCCTTCACACACGACATCTGGAGACAGAGTTCCATGAGTCAGACATACCAACGGGCAAGGTGCATCTAATCCAGGGGCACCCTGTTCTCCTTTCTCCCCTTTAGGCCCCTTTTTGCCTTTCTTTCCCTTTTCCCCCTGTGGATACAAGGGTTTAAATAAAAGACAGGTTTTATTGGAGGAGGGTAAATAAGGGTGATTCAAAAGATGATTTAGCCAATAAAAGTCTGGAAGGGCATTTACCACTGTTTTCTGGTTTAGGAAAGGCATGATATAAAAAGAGCAGAGTGACAATGGACTCTGGCAATGATATGTGGCATTTTATTTACGATACTCAATACTCTGATAGAAGGAGACCTAAAAGGCCAACCCTTCAGGAAGAAGGATCGGTGCTGACGTAGGGCCCAGTGCAGTGGCCCTTTAGAATGAGGTGCTTCTGCCGTGCATCTGGGTGGTGCGTGTGCGTGTGCGTGTGCGTGTGCATGTGACGGATACCAACTGTACTGAAGCCAACCAGTGGCAGGTGAGGTTCAGAGGAATAATGGATACTTCGCCTAATATTCGCCTAATACCTATCAACTTGTTTCCCCCCCTAATCCTGTAGTAGGTGAAAGCTACATTGAACCAGAAGAAAGGAATATTAACAGCTCCTACCTTTTTGAAATACATCCAATTTTATGACATTATTTTTTGTAGCTCTCATTAAAAAATACTCGATGTATTAAAATATGCTTCTATTTCTTTTAACATTCTTTTTCAGGAAACTAAGAGCAAATATTTTCCTTATTAAGTCAGGTAGATAAATTGAAAAAGTGCTAATACTCTCAGCAATACCAATTGGAGAAACAGACTTATTTGTAAACCCAGGGATCTTCTCTAACTCACTCGTGTTGATCTCATGCCAGATGTTCACAATGGTAAATGGGTTTCCAGCTTACTGACAGGGTAACAAATGCCAAAAAAAAAAAAAAAAAAAATTCTGTTCAGGAGAGGAAAAGCAGTTTGGACTCAGCTGAGCTAACACTAAAAATGAGGTAGGCAGGATAATTGCATAGTGGGAAGATAGCCATGGAAATTAGTATTTAGGAATCAAGGTAGAGGTTGTGGAAATCTGCATGGATCAGAGGGATGGAGGAATTTAGGAAAGGAGGCAAAAGGAGGAGAGGGAAGGAATGCACCTCAGCTGTTTTATATTAACATAAATATCTGCATATTTATAGACAAGAAGTGGGTGAGTACAGAATACAAAATACAACACATACTTAAATTAGCGTATTCATTCTGCAATCGGGATGGCGGTTACGATAAAACTGGATAGATTCAGAAGCAAGACAACACGAATATTCTCAGGTAAAACGGCAAGCACAGAACAGAAAAATATGAGATATGCACTCTAATTAACGTCTTCATTCTGACGGCAGGAGCAAAAGCTCCTCGTTATCTCCTGTGTGCCAAAAAGATTGCATCAGAAGGCTCAGAATCAAAAACACTTGGGTTTCTTTAACACCGGGGGAAGATAGAAGTTCTGTGTGATTTGGTTGATCATGATTAAAGACAAAGACCTGAGAAGCCAGGGCAAAATGAGAGCAGGCGGGACAGGAAGCTGGGAGGGGCCTTGGGGAGTAAACTGCTCACGCAGGCAGATGGGTCAACATCCCTCCTCAGCAAATAACTTCAGTGCCTTGACATAAAACTGATTCCCACTTGCTTGGGTGAGCTCTTTCCTCCCAGGAGGCAGTGGGCTCCTCTTCACGGAGGTGTGACTGACACCAGGTGTGTTAGGTATTATTAATTTAGAATTCACTTCACTGTTTGCTAGATCAACTCATATTAGTAAGTCAACAGAAAAGTGTTGTCATAGGAGTGTTGACTGAACAGGCTATGGGCATAATTTTTCAGGAATATTTTTGTAAACTTCAAGCTTTATGGAAAACAGACACTGTTGTACAAAGAATAATATATCAGTGTTATTATTAGTCAACATAGTTTTGTAACAGTTAGGGATTCCCTATGTAACACAAAACCATCTCTCCATGGGGGCATGAGCACATAAGGTTCCTGCTAGTATTTATGTCCCATGTCAAAGAATGCTAGACATAAAGTGTTCACATTTAGAATCTAATCTTCCTAAAGATGAAACTTCTCTACATGGAGTCTGAAATACGGAAATATTTTGTATGGGTGATTAACATTAGTCTGAGGATTAAATTTGTAGCTTAATGTTTTCATAAGTTGTAATACTGGTAATTTCTTCTTTGTTTAAAAGAGCATTAAAATAAGTATCCCCATAATGGTGACACAGTTTTGAATAAGATTTTAGACTCATACACCCCATTAGGTGAATATAAAATCTATAATCTTTAAAGTACACATACCTTGAGCTAAAATATACAATTTATCTCAAAAAATTTATATTTTATGGCCAGAATTTATAATTTAGAATAAAAAAATTATATTTTTTGCCTTAGTTTACTTGTCTGTGAAATGGGTACAAAAATAGCACCAACCTTAGGGGGTAGTTTTGAGGATTAAAAGACTTATCATATGTAAAGCTTTTGGGAAAACACTTAATAAGTGCTCAATAAGTATAATGTTATTGATGATGGTGGTGGTGCTTTTTACATAACCCCTCACATGAGCTCTCTGACCAATGGGAGGCTAAGTAATGTTTACAGCCTGTAGAATACACAGCAGTCCTCACACCCTTCTTTCTTTGATAACTCTCATTTGGCCTTGCTTTTCAAAAGCTATGAACTTCACTGTCAAAGATAATTTCTAGGGTTTTGAAAACAGTGTGTTGTTAAGTAGATCAGGGCATGATTTAATCTGAGAAACATAACTGAACTGTGGAAGGGCAATTTAAATTTAAATTTGAACTGTGGAGGTACAATTTAAATTTGAACCGTGAAAGTGCAACTTCAGCCACTTTAAGATTTTCACTGTTCTGTGGAGGGGCTGAGTTTTTGTTTGCTTCCTTTGCTGTGTCAAGTGTAAAAGATTATTCTTCAAAGATTTAATCAAATGGGAGAGGAAAGGAAAAATTTATTTTTAAAATCCATAATCCAAATTTTACTTTCAGACATAAAACCATTTTGCCTGATTTTGGTTCCTGTATAGCCTGGAGCTGATGGTCCTGAGATAGAACCTAAACTCGACCTCACAAAACATACCAATATCTTCACTTAAAAATACCTACAGCACCTAAAAGCTGCCTCATGGACTCACTGGGGTTTATTAGTCACACTGCTTGTCTTCTATTTTCCAGTCAAGAAAATCAAGGTACAGAACATATCTTCTGTCCTTTGACTGGGACTGTTGTGAAGATAACTGAGGTGTGGGTTTGTACTATTTTGGTTTACATTAATGTATAATAAATGTGGTGTTTTTTTCATTTTCAAGCATCCCTGAACATGATATTTTTCAACACTGGTGTCAGGTAGTTGAAAACTTGTAGCCTGGCTCTCTGGGGATTATATATTTTTTCTTCTACACTGGACAGTGCTCTTATTTCTAGTGGTGTAGCCTTCATTCCTCTGTAAGGACCCGATTCCTTAGACCAGGCATCAGCATGTTTTTGGAGCATAGGAGGGAGCAGGATTAGATGGGAGCACAGGAGGGAGCAGGATTAGATGAATGAACGACTCGCACAGGTTGAAGCAAAGCAGAAAGCGTGAGAAAAACCCAGCAGGCACGTGCTGGGATGCAGAGGTCACCTTTTCTCCCTTTTCTCCCAGGTCACCCTTCTCGCCTCGTGGACCAGGGAAGCCCTACAGGGTAAAAAGCAAACCAAAGAGATCTATTGATGCAAGTATGGCAAAATCAAACTGAAAAAATAAATTTAAAATCACGTTTCTGAACATAGATATAAAGAAAAATGGCATGCCCAACAATTTCAAAACGTAGGTAAAGTAGCCCTTAGGAATAATAATCTGCCAATGTGTCGATTATCTACATAGTACAAGTTTCTAGCTTTTTCTCCTAGGAAATGTACGGTGGAGAGACTATCAGGATTCTGGCAAGTTCACTGCTGTCTGTGGCCTTGTGCAAATCACTTACCTCAGCATTTTAGTCCCTTGAGTGTAGAATGGGGTTAATGATATCTACTAGACAACTGTTGGTGTGTGTATTAAATGTGGTGAAATAGAGTACCAGAATTATGTCTGCACGTACCAGGTGCTCAATAAATAGTAACTACTATTACTTTGCTATTGTTATTATTCACATAACACAGGATGAGCAGGGCTCATTTCAAGAGGCATTTACTTTTGAGATTCTCTATATTTATTGACTTGTAAGATATATAGAGGCTTTATGCTAAAAGAAAAGAAATATTGCATAAGAGCTTTGAGAATAGGTATAACACACCATTACCTAAGGGTAGCATGTGAAAGATACTTTAATTTTATGCATATTTAAAAATAAGTAGTTCAACTGCAAATGTTGAGGGTGTCCCTAATTTGGGAAAGTATTTTGAAGTGGCACTATCAACTGTCAGTATTAATTTTATACCAGATAATTATTTTTTTCCTTTATGTTTATCTTATGTAACCACTCATGGTGTATTTTATACCGCTGTCTACATGCACAGCAATATATGTAGTATGCATATCTATGTGCACAGAAACAATTAGAAGGATTCTTGCTGTTACTGATGATGGAGACCATCAGCATCTATTATAACAGGAAGATGTTCGTTGTACGTATTACTTACATCAAGACCAGGCTCTCCATCTTTCCCCTGCCAAAGAACCACAGGAGCTACATTAGTGTTCCAGGGTTTCATGACTACATTACTGTGTTAGTTAAGGCTGCCTGGACATGCAACACTAGTATTAGAGCTACTTCAAATGTGTGAAATAGATTCTCTATCGATTAGTACTACAAAGTTCTTTCACTAAACCAAGTGAAGTGACTGTTACTGTTGCTGTTACATGTCATGAAAATGTTTTCTTGTATATTGGGTTAAATAGTTATTTTGCTGATGTTAAATGCTTGGTATCCAAGTTATCAATCTAGGAATAAGTTGAAAGCAAAAATGGTTTAGTTGATTTAAAAGCACACCAGCACTAATAAGGCATGCACATCAATGCTGCTTTAATTTGATAACTTAGTAGTTAGCTCATAAATGAGTAAAAAAATGTGGAAACTTTATTGTTAAATATAGTTTGAATTTGGCTAGATGTGCCCCTTGTCTATAAATATTGAGGGTGAGAAGGTCACAACTTAGACACTGTTTTTAAGTAAGCTTGTAAATGAATGACACTCAAATGTGAAAGGAATCATAAGGCTGTTGTAGAAGGATGATAAATGCATTCCCTGGTGCAGATTACTGGGGCAGTGACCTGATTGTGTCACACAACGGATCCACCCAAAGTTCCTGAGAGGTTGCTTTGACTCTATCAACTGGAAGCTATTTCAAAATAAGCCTTCACTTTAAATCTATTTTAAATTTAAAATCAGCCTCTTACTTAGCGTTGAAGTAATCATGGTTTAAGTTTATTTCACTCATAAAAACTGAAAGTACAAGGTATGCGGAAGGTGCACAGGGTTAAAAACCTTAATATAGCACATGCTTCTATTGTAGTCCTTCCCTACCCCATGGAATCATTTATGATTATCCCAAAGTTAATGTCCTGAAGCAAACCTGAGGCCTCAACTTGAAGTCTGTGTCATTGAGAATTTTCAGAAGACAGAACACTATCCACATTCCATGTCTGAAGATCCCTTGTCATCACAGTGACTTAGAAGGATCAGAGACATCAGTCATTGTAAACATCAATTGGAGAAATACCTTCTTAGCAAGGGTAGCTTTTGTAAGTTACCTATGAGAATAGATCAAGCCTGCGAAGTTGTTTTAAATAAGGCTTCTACACCCACTTTTGGTTCAGTGACCTCCCAAAGAAGTGCCAGTCACGGCTGTCCAGTCAGATGGTATGAGGAAGGCATCCCTGGACAGGGGAGAACCACCTCAGGGTCAGTACTGCTCATCTCATGGGCAAGCTCTGATCCTCTCAGTCCTGTGGCATGTGAGGGAGTAAGTCTGTCTGTGAGAAGGAGAGCAAGACACGAATATGACCTATCTCTGGAGGACATGGTGACACTGGGGTTGTAGAGAATTAGTGGATTTTTCTTGCTCCTATAATGTGATTAGTAGGCCCCACAAGGGAAGGGTTAAGTGTGCCAGTGACAGGTGAGCTGTGCACGCTGAAGGCAGAGGCTGCCCACAAGACCAAGAACTCACAGGCAGACCGTAGGGCCCTCTGGGTCCAGGCTCTCCCACAGCTCCTTTTTCACCCTAAAATAAAAGGCAGAAAGTTCAAATCAAACACCTAGATTCATGCCTGTGCCCTAAGAGCCTGTGTATAAAGCCTCTGTTTGAAGTAGCATTCTATCAAAATTCCAAAGATTCAGGCTCTTCCAAAGTCGCTGCCAATGATACAGTAAAAGCAATCTACATTAGACTATTTTACCCGATCACCTTTGAAGGAGGGGCTGTAAGACTTCTACTGCCCTGTTGTGCAAAAGGACCAGCATGTCTAGGATGCTGTACTTGGGTTTCTTGGGAACTAGCATGAAGTATTTATTTGTTACTAATTATTTTAAGTTATCACTCTTTTAAAACTGTAAGAATAAAATGTCTTTTTCTTTCTACCAAACATCTCTTCTTCAGCAAGATCTTCCTTGCGCACTCCTTGCCCTCACAGGGCACTCACACACTGGGAGACCTGTTTATTTACTTAAAAAACTTGTATTTGTTGATTTCAGAGAGAGGAAGAGGGAGGGAGAGAGAGAGACAGAAACCTCAATGATGAGAGAGAGTCAATGATGGGCTGCCTCCTGCATTCCCCCTGCTGGTGATCGACCCTGCAACCCAGGCGTGTGCCTTGATCGGAATCGAACCATGACCTCCTGGTTCATAGGTCGACACTCAGCCACTGAGCCACACTGGCCAGGCTAACCTGTTTATTCTCCACCGAGCCCATGACTGGAATATGCACACTAGGGTGCCAGGGCCTCTGGCTTTGTTCCCTGCTGCCCCCTCCATGGCATACAACAGTGTCTGGCACATCAGTAAATAACTGTTGAATTAATCAATCAAGTCAAATGAATACAATCATGTACCTGTTTTGCTTCTTTTCTGAAAAAGAGGGTTTTAAAACTTTTATGCCTCCTACTAAATGCCTGTTAACCTCATCGCTCTCTCTCCATGTGCCTATTTAAATAGAATAGCTTGCCTCGGCTTAAATGATAATCTTGAATGCTTATAAAGAATAAGTGTAATTGGATGTCATCCCATGGATATGAAATGATTGTGATGACGGAGAAAGAGTTGCTCTGCGTTTCAAGCAGAGTTCTCCTCTGCCACATCTCCAAAATTAACGTGTTTGTCAGGATTTGGCAGGCAAACTTCAGGAGTCACAGTGATGTTTATATGAGTGGCCAAACAGAAAAGGTTACCTTCTTTTATCATGCCCCTTAAAGGTTAGCAAATCGTTTTCATGGGTAAAGTGCCAAGCTCCGCCGATAACTGTGCATGCAGGCCCGTGTATTATGCTGTTTCTCTAAACTCCAGATTCCCGTCTGAGCAAAGTTCAGGCCCCTGTTAACATTCTTTATTCTAAACTTAGGGATTGGTGGAGCTAATTAGCACTGTCACCCAGAAGCACATAAAGAACAGGGAGATTGCTGAAAATAAATATGACAAATGCTTTTGAACGTTTATTCATTATTACTGAAGGAGCAGCATTTGCTTTCAGGAAAGTGCTCAGGCTTTGAAATAAAACAGATTTAAATCTGAATTCCAATTCTGTCACTAACTAGCTGCGTGGCCTTAGGTAACTTTTTCTTTTTTGAATCCTCACCTGATGATATGTTTTTATTGATTTTAGAGAGAGAGGAAGAGAAAGAGAGAGAGAGAGAAACATCGAAGTCAGAGAGAAGCATTGACCGGTTGCCTCCCATACATGCCCTGACTAGGATCGAACCCACAACCTCGGTATGCGCCCTGACCGGGAATCAAACCTGAAACCTTTTGGTGTATGGGACGATGCTCCAAACAACTGAGTCACCCGCCAGGGCTTAGGTAACTTTCTTAACTTTTCTGTGCCTGAGTTTCATTGGCTGTTAAATAAGAATAATAATACATGTTCTACAAGAATTTTTCTGAAGACAAATGCGATTATAAAATATGAAATTCACTATTGCCAAATAATATGTCCCACAAATGGCAGCTATCACTATTATTATACAATTAGATGTCTTATTTATTATTTATTTATTAATCCTCACTTGAGAATATTTTTTCCACTGCTTTTCAGAGAGAGTGGAGGAGAGAGAAAGAGAGAGAAACAGCAATGTGAGAGAGATACATCAATTGGCTGCCTCCCACATGCACCCTGACTGGGGCTGGGGATCAAGCCTGCAACCCAGGTACGTGCCCTTGGCCAGAATTGAACTTGGGACCCTTCAGTCCGCAGGCCGATGCTCTAACCACTGAGCCAAATGGGCTAGAGCTAGTGGGCTTATTTTTAATAAAAAGGGCTTGGCAACTCAAAGAGCACCTAATTCAAAGTAAATTTATTTCATCTTGATCTGGCAGTGTTATTTATAATTTTTAAAATGGTGGTGGTGGTAGTTACTGTGGTGGTGGTGGGAATGTGTTTGTGTGTGTGTGTGTAGTCAGAGGTGGGGGTTTAAAAGGAGGGTTCACATAACCTGGAGTAGATCTAGTTTTTAAAAACTCCACAGATTAGAGTAGATTTCATTTGAAAAATCTCCATGGATTATTTTGATATATCTACTCCCTTCTCCCTCCTCTGATTGAGCAACGTGGCTATATTTTGTTTTTAAAATGAATATACTGTGGCTTATTTGGATTAAGCTGTCACTAAAGCATTTGTCTGTGGAACTTCTGGTATAGAACTGCCCACCCCAAATAATTACTTTAATAACGACAATCCATTTCTCAGCAGTGACTGCTTCAGAAGTGGGTATGAGTGTGGGGGGAAGTCAGCTGGCCGCTCTGGGGAGGTTCCTCACTGTAAGGAAAGAGGCGCAGGAGGCTAAGGCCTGCCTTGCTTCCTGCGGATGCCTCCTGGAGGGAGGTGAGCACCACCGCGGCCAGCTTGCCAGTGGTCAGAGGACAAGGCTGGCACGCGGAAAGGGCACAGAGGCAAAGGCTAGAGTCCTTCCTTTGAACATTTTATTATAGAAAACAATAAATGTCTTTATTGTACTGAGGCATTTTGAGTTGGGGCTGTGTCACTTAGAGCCAAAAGCATCCTAATGATCCCAGCTTGAAAACGTTTAGGAGTGAAATATTAACAGGGGAATTGGAATGTGTAACTTCTTTTCCTGGATTAAATAATACAAAATTTAAAAAATCACCAACCCCCTCCTCACCTTTTGAACCTCTCCAATTTAACATCCTCTACAGAGTTCCTAAGCGGTTACAAGGCCAGATGAAGAAATCAACTGAAGGCAGGAACCATCAGGAGCTTGAAGAGCCGAATACTAATGGTGCCAGGCATGCATTTGACAATTTCTGAATAACACTGTCTGTCAAATGGCTGGCTTCCTTTAGGCTGGTCTAATTTTATTCAGGCTCTTTAATTTGCATGTCTACACTAAGAAATTATTCTAGAATGGCCCCCTTTCCTGATTCTTCCCGCTTTAAAATCGGAAACTTTTTCAAGAGAGTCCAGATGGCACCTCAATCAATTAACACTGAGAATCACACTTGAGTTTAGCACTTGGGGTGAGGGGCACTTAAGAGAGCCCTGATATATGACCCAGTCAAGGCAGTTAACATGCTGAGTAAATACAAGTGTAACATTTTACACGGCACACCATCTGACTTCAACTATGCCTTCCAAAATTCTTAGAGATTTCATTTGCTCTCCGGGTTAATTCTGCCCCAGGGCCGAGACCCGATACTCTTGTGACACTGTGGAGCTATCGGAAGTAGCAGCTGATTTACCAAATGGTAAACCCTCTTGAGCCCCAGGGCACTCTGCCAAAAGACTACTTGAGATTTGCTGCTCCGTTTTTAGTACCAGTACTGAATTTCTTGATACAGCGCTTAAGTGCTTCAGTGGGGGAGGCTCTTCACTTTTAGATATTTTTAATTAAGATGATCTTCATAAGTCATTGGCTTGATCTTAGAAATAAGATCAAATATAGAAAGATAACTGCAGATTCAGATTATGTATTTCTTTAAGACTCACCTCTTTCCAGAAGCATTCTTGGACAAAGCCACCTTCCTCATCACTGTATGTACAGCCTGAACCTATCTCTATTCACTTTGGCCTCATTATCTGGCTATTTTTCACAGATTTTTTCCCCCCCTCTGCAATTAGCTGTAAACTCTTCTAGATCAGGGGAAACAGCTGCTTCCCTTACAGTATTGAATAAGTATATATAGTGTATTAGTAAAACATTACAGGGTGAGGAATTAATTATAATGGTATGCAATTCACTGGAGCAAAATGGACTTTACATAAAAGGGTGAGAGTGTTTCCATTTCACACTGGAAGTACACCGGGGTTTTGTACATCATAACATGTGATAAATATTTACTGAATGGATGACTTCAGCTTATAGAACATGGGGTTGGGGAGTACGCCAAAGAAACCACTACGCGGCCCTCTGTGTTAAAGCAAATTATTCCAGATTGATGAAACTCTATCTTCCTTTAAAAGACCACAAACTTGCACAATGAATTATTCCAACATTTTGAAGCCCTCTCTATTAGGATACTTTCTTTACATCCCTTCCAGGATGGTGGGGAAACTGATGACACAATTCCACTCAGACACACAAACACTTGCAAGTTTCCCAAGGTGAGGGAAAGAAAAAGGGGGAGAAAAACAGAGAAAGAGGGAGAGACGTTCCGGACAGGCGAGCAGCTGCTGATGCGGCAGCACATTTTTTGGTGTCAGATATTTATCCCCCACTCTGACTTCTTTTTTTCCCAAGGATATGAAAACACAGCCTAGCAATAGAGAGGTTAGTGAAAGGTTTTTGCTTTATAATGCACTGAAATTATTTCCGTATGGCTAAGGAAAGATAGGCTATTCTTTTGTTTTTTGAAAACAGCAGCATGTGTAAATGTGTGGAGGAGACTGCGTCGGTTTTGTCATTTTCTTTGCAAAGTCATAGCTGACCCTCTATGAATAAAGTAGCTTTATATAAAATATTATCAGCCAGAATATGCAGTCCAGGAAATGGCAGCCCCACTGACTTCTATTTACTGGGCTAAGGCCAAATCAAACCATCCTCCTTATGGGCTCGGAAGGCGTGGTCGGAGCTCTGTGTTAGCCGAGTAAATGTCGCATTAGGGCAGCCACAGTCCATGGCACACTCTGTGGTTCTGTCTCTGTGTGAAGACTCTGAATAGAACTTACGATGATAGCTAGTTTCATTTAATAGTAGATGGCCCTTTGTTTCTTCTGGGAAATGAACAGTTAAGTTCAAGTACAATGAAAAGGCCACACTCTCTTTTCTTTAGGTCACAGCTTAGTAACCTCAGGAGCAACTTACTCTTTCTCCTTTGGGACCTGCTGGGCCATGGGGTCCCATAGGGCCATCTGTACCCTAAAGAAAAAGATAAAAAAATAAAATAATATGAGACATATCCCAAGGGCTATGAGAAAAGCAGCTATAATTTATCCTGGACCTTTCCTGAGTGAAGGGCGCCTGAGAATGTCAGCAAGACAACTCATCTCCTTTCAAAGTGCTTTAGGTTTGATCCTTTCAGGCCAGGGGTTCTCAAGAACCTCATGCAAAAGGGATGAATTATATAACTGCCTATTTCCATGAAGGGCACACACACAAAACTGTGCATCATATTTAATTACATATTTCCTCCCCGACTAAATGGAACAGCTTCACTTTGCCCCCCTAATCTTAAAAAAAAACCTGTAATCGTTTTTCCTTCACATCACCCCTTGTTCATATCCCTTCTCCACCCCCACGGTCATCCCCACTTTCCTTGGCCACGGATGCTCCGAAGCCTTGTTTTCAGCTGCTTTAGAGGCTTGAACAGTTATACAGATAAACAAAATTAAATAAAGGAGAACAGTGTTCAAACTGAACTTTCTCGGGCTCCGTTGGGAGCAGCAGGGGCCTTAGAGGGAAGGAATTATTCCTGCAGGTTCTGCTGCAGGGCCTGAAGTCACTGGGCTTCCAAGGCACAAACTAGGCAGCTGATGATTTAACGGAGTAATTGCCTTCTGGCCTCCTGCTTGAGGGTAAGGATTTCTATGGCCATGAGATAATACCTGAATGAATGGAGGACCACTGAGGTCCCAGGAGAACAATGACTGCCTGAAGAAGGTTTTTAGGATTGAAGAGCTGAAGTTTCCTTCTGATTCTTAAAAGTGTAGCAAGGATTTCGGCTCATTTTCAGGAAGACTATGCTTAGATTTGCAAAGAATTTGTTGTAAAAGTTGCAAATGGAACTATTTGGCACAAGTTTTTACAGTGTTTTTATTTCTTGTCTACTGTTTACTCTCTTGGAGCCCTGTGATATAAAATAATTCAGGGTTTTAAATTCATTCTAGTGTTGGCGAATTCTCATCATCTTAAACTGATCCTTTACTGCCTGAACTCAAAGTTCATCTTCAGAAGACTCGTAAAATACTGAGTATCTGCGGCTGAAATTGAAGAGATGAAGCCGTTAAGAGCCAAAGAAAAAGAGACAAAACGACAGAAGACAGACAAGTCATTTCGATGAACAAAGATTTGAAAGTTAGTTCCAATGAAGGAGTTACATTTCTAATAAGAACATAAACATCAAAGGAAAAAGCAGGTTAAAATAAATTCACATGGTTGTAATCCCTTCAGAGGGCCTCTCTCCTGGAATGACAGGAAATGTCCACTGGTTATGGAAAAATCTGTGGGGATCCTAGGACAGTGAACCCAGTTAGCCTGGCCATTCCTCTCACCCAGCAGGGGGCCCAGACCCGAGCCCGGCTTCAGAATCATGCTCTGTAGCTAAGGCTGCACGTCCAACAGAGCCGCGGCCCCCCTCTGTTCACCTTTCCCTTTCCTGCTACTGTCCCTGTCCACCTTCTCGTCGCACCCCGGTCCTAGGCACCCTCATCTTTTAATGAGAACACATGAGTCAAAGGGTCTGTCCTGAAGCACAGAATTCATAGCCACGAACGCGCTGGAGCAAGACGAGGCGCTGACTCACCCGGGCTCCTGGCTTCCCGTCTAAGCCAGATGCTCCCTGTGTGATTTGGTTGGTAGCAGGGTTGGTGGGTGTAACACGAATGACAAGAACAGAGATTAGTATGAGGTACCAATGAACAGGCGTACACTTCAAACAACATAATACCCGGTCACAGGGTTTGGGGATGATTATCACATTGCTACAAATTGTTAGTTAAAAAAAAACAAAACACAGGACGATAAACACCCCGAGAGACGATGGCATTTTAATGACATTCCCATTTGATAAATTCTTATTTAGAAATCAAGGTAGTGAGGCTTATAGAGTGGGCTTTAAAGTAGTTACCAGTAACAGTCACTACAGTTACTGCTAATATCCCCATGAAATTCATTTTCTCAAGACTGTACTATTCACAGTATTTTCTTTAAGTTCTGGAAGGAAAAACAATGGCCAATCTTCTAAGAAAGGGCTCATTATAATAATCAATCATGAATAAATAGCATTTCAGAGGAGAAGAGCTCTAGTTTTGTTTGTTAAAACAGCATTTATGAATAACACATCCTGCAGGATGACTGTGGCTTTTACATGAACAATAGTCATTGTTTTCTGGGGTGTTCTTACTGTGTTCACATTAGATGCCACTAGAGGGACTTCTAGGAACAGGAAAAAGCCAGAAATATTTCATGAGTCCAAACAGAAAAATAACTGTCCCAAACAAAATCGTTCCTTAGTTCACTTCAAATAATCATTGCATCAAAGTCTGAATGGGAAATGCTTTAAAAAATCTAATGTTCTCAGGCAATGCATGCTTTTCTTCACCTTGGACTCCTGACTACGCATAGCACGTGATTAAAAGATGACATTTTCAATGCTTATGTCAAGAATAAGCACAATTTCTTCTTTGATATGGTGTTTGCATCTTAAAACTCAAATATTTATTTACAGTCCTTTAAAAATATTGATGAGGTCAAGGACTGTTTAAGAAAGATGATGCACTAGCCCTATAAATTCTCTTGGCAAGGTTGCAGAACTTTTTCCCATTTTATGCTTCAGATGTAATTAATAATACAAAATGAAAGAAAAAAAATTGATTCCAGCTGCAAACTCTACCAATGATGCCATTTGGGTAACTTTATATTTTATTTTACAATTCCTTCTGTATAATTCTATTAGGAGTGAGGCTATAACTGCAAAATACATCTTTAGTTAGCAATAATTGAAAAAATTTTAAAGTGTGTTGTTGTTTGTTTGTTTAATGCTGACATATGTACAGCTTTCTGTTAAATGTTGTATAAAAATTATCACTAGTCCTAAATTTGAAATTAGGGCAAACTTTAAAGAAATCAGGTTAAGGGTTTAAATGAAATAGAAATCCAAACTTTTTTTTTACTTTTTGGTACTTTTGTCAGAGTCACCATCATTATAACATTTAAAAATAAACACGGAGATGGTAAAATTTTTGCACTGACAATATATTTACCTGGGATGTGAATTAATGACTCACATATATTATAGAGGTTCTATGCCTAGGGTCCATTGATCTAATTTGTGTGATTTAACTTATGCTCTAATACAAGGCTTTATATTACTTATTCAGTAAATGAGTATCTATTGAGCATCTACTACATGCCTGATTTATGTAAGGCACTGGTTATCAAGAGCATACTTAGTACTTAAGATATAATACAGGGAAAATAAAATAAGTGGTCATCAATTTTTTATGTGTAAAATATGTGTATAGCCCTGGCCGGTGTGGCTCAGTTGGTTGGGTGTCATCTTATGCACCAAAAGGTTGCAGGCTCAATCCCTGGTGGGGGCGCGCAGGAAGCAGCCTATCAATGCTTCCCTCTCACATCGATGTTTCTCTCCCTCCCTCTCCCTTACTCTCTCTTTAAAAAAGTCAATAAAAAAATCTTTAAAAAATAGAAAATATGTGTATAAACTATTTCCTATTACCAATTTTATGTCATATTTTAATAATGTAATCTATAATGTTCTTTATTGACTTTTATTGACATTCACTGAATAGACAGCATAGTAACAGCTTGAAATTTAAGCCTCCTATTCAATAGCCGTTTTTTAAAAATCTCTTTTTAGTTGTTGTGGAAAGAAGGCTGGCATAAAGTGCACAATGGGTGAAAATCCCTTTTTGGTCAAAAATAAAAATCTTCTCCCATCCTATCCACTATTGCTACAATAATCTCTTAGAGAGTACTTCCGAAACAGACAACATACGACATTTAGACCACAGTATGATTGATTAAGGTAAGGAGCCACAGCACTGACCTCACCCCATCAACAAGGGCCAAGTGCATACTTGCCACCAAAAGAGGGCTACAGCTTGGGTATTGAAGGAGGGGAAAAAAAAATATTGAAGGAGAATTTGAAACTGCACTAAATTATAAAAATGTTTGGGAGAAATTATGAAATTCTCAGCACAATGCATTTTTAAAGAGGAGGGTGATGGGAGAAGAATTGTCAGCTTTAAAAGAGGAAGGTTGGCATGTATGTAATTGAAGGACAAACACATATGGTATTGTGTGCTGTGGGGGTCTTCCTCATACAGAAGAGCAGACATCAGAAAAAGAAACGGGGCTGAGCTCTGCACTAACACAGTGTGTTTTCCAATTACAGAAATCTCAACTCGAAGATAGTCGCCAAGTAAACCAGAATTGTTGCTAAGGTAGAAAGAAAAGTCCGAGATTTGCACTGAAATGGAAAGTTTTCTTTACTTACTGGAAGACCAAGGGGTCCTCTGTCACCCTTTTGACCTGGTTCACCCTTCAATCCTTTAACACCATTTAACCCTGGTTCACCCTAAATGCAAAAGCAAATGCCAATTTTGGTTGCTATCACGGGCGTTTCAACTATGAGAGAAGAGAGCCAGTCTCTAAAATGGTTGCAGATTCCAGTTTTCGGGAACAGCTGAGTCAGGCTAGATTTGTCTTGTATCAGTTCAAAATTAATTTTTAAAACATTAAAAAATTAATAAACTGAAATTGACAAATAAGATTCTAGGAAAAAAAGCTCCCTAGAAAGTGTGTTCTTTACAATCAAAATATATATAGCTGAGTTGCTGAATTTTTTAGTTGTATATCAAGGCAATTGGTGTTATACTACATTGTTCTGACCAAGCAAATCAAAGACAATCGGATGCTCAAGGAGATTCAGTGACCAAGCAAATCAAAGACAATCAGATGCTCAAGGAGATTCAGTGATAAAAAACCCTACTCTGCTGCAATGGAAAACTGGAATATGCAGGACAGTGTTATATACAGACATTTTAAGCCTTTAAGCATTTTGCCCAGGGGAATGGGCTAAATATATAGCAGCTAATGTTTGAAGTAATGCCATTTAATGAGTCCTCATTCAGTGACATTGCCAAGTCAGGTCCCTATATAGATTAATCAATAGAGAAGACAGCAAATAGCCAATCCCAGAAGAAAATATGAAGATCACAGAACTTACACGTAGTAAGTTCGTCTGCCCAATGTTTGAATAAAGAAGGTTTGAATTTAGCTTAGGGTGACATTACAAAAGCTGTGGGAAGTGATAAATTTTGTTGACTCTATTAAAAAAAAAAAAAATCTAAGAATACAGCACACCTATTTTCTGTCAGCAGCAGCAGTATGTTGGAGATAGAGTTTAACTGGCTCACTTTTCAACTTTTAAGCACGGACATTAACTTCATCAAGAAAATCTTGAAAGCCTTGAAAGAAGATGATTTTAGTCTCAAAGCCCTATCGAGTCTTTCTGGGTGGAGAGGGAACAAGGAAGAGGTTATGTCTACATGGCAGGAGGGTGGTACTTTCCCCATTTGTCTGATGATGAAGTCAGTGTGGTGCTTGTTAAACATAAAGAGTCCAGGGCCCCACATAGACCTTAGTAGCACAGGAAATGTGTACTTTTCATAAGCCTTCCAGGTGACTCTTCTCATCAGGAAATTCTGGGAAACAGCTCATCCTTAGAACCACGTTATATATTTGAACTTTTGAAGGGGTCACAAAATAATGAACACATTTGGGCACAACCTAGTGAAATGTTGGGATTCTAAAGATAGGATGAGCACAGTGCTGCCACTATAGGAAATACAAATGTGCTATGGTTGGTAAAGTATGATCTTGGGAATGTCACAGAGCTAGAGTTAATGTGAGGTGAAGGCCAAGGCTCAACAGTCAACTTCAGTTAACTGGTCTAAACTTGAGACACATAGCTTTGCATGTGTGTGGTCTTTCAGCAAGTGGTCTTGAGATGATGGATAGGCAGGAAAGCCTGGGTAGGCTGTGAAATTCTTTGGTAAGGAATCATGCATTGATAGGAATGGTCATTAATTGAGACGATGAGTTTATAAACAATCTAAAAGACCAAATTTCAATGCTGGACCTAAATTCTAGTCCCAGATCTGTCATTTAATTAGCAGTGTAATTTAAGATAAATAACCTAAATTTCCTGGGCCTATAGTTTATCATCTATAAAATCAAGGAATTAGCATAGGTATTCTATGAGGTCTTTGAAACTTTATAAAAATTCTCTGAAGTCTATGATTTAAGTACAATTAAAGTTAAGTGTAGGCAAAAACCAACACATTGCATTTTAGATATCAAAAGAATCTTGGGCATATGTTAATCTAATGGTAGTGGGATATCAGAATCACTCATGGAATTAAAAACAGTCTTGATGGCTTTAGCCTGAGTTGTTATGATTGCGCTGGTCTTTAAAGGTGCCTTAACATCCAAGGAGAAGCCAAGAGAAGGAAGAGAGGCCCAGAGAAGTTAGATAACTACTAAGACCACAATGCCAGTAGATGGGCTCTCTTTTCTAACCCCCCCAGAACAATGTTTTTACCCCAAACTATAATCTTTGATTCTGAGACACTGTCACTCATTGGACTTGCCAGAAGGTAAGGTATTCTGCCAATAATAAAGAGGCATGAACTCTTCCCATGCTTGGGTGAGTCATCTGCCTGACTTCAAAAGGGAAACTCAGATTTCTGGAGTCAGATCGATATCTCTGCCACCCCTAAAGCTGAGTGAGCCAGAGGGAGTCTCCAGAGGAGAGGGTGGGCTGCCTTTCTGATTCCTAGTGCCAACACTGCACTCATGTGTTCTCTCACCCCTCACATTTAAATGTATCAATTCACTATTGAGGAGCTTTCATGAGTACCTGAACCTTCTCTCAAACAGCCTTGAGGACTAGCTCAAGTTTTCTGTTCAGACCAAAGCGCCAAATCACAAGATAACAAATACAACTGACATTTATTGGGTGCTTATCAACAACTGCACCAGATATTTTGCTATTAAGTCATCATAACCCTATGTGGTAAGTTACTTAGTTGAGTAAATGAAGGATCAGAAAGGGTAAATAATCTGTCCAAGGTAACACAGCCTGTCAGGGGCAAAGCTGTGATTAGAACATAGTTCCTCATCACACATGTTCCCTGGAAGAAAGAGATTATCTTTCAGGGCTCCCTTTAATCCTCCTAGATGTCCTCTTGGTTTACACGAAGGCAGAGAACAGGTGGGGACCGCCTTCACCATACAGGCTGCACTAATGCTGAAAAGGAGGGGCTACTATCCATTGTCCTCTTGTTAACCCGGAGTATATGTATGTGTCTCAATGTATGTGATGCAATCTCCTCCTCAGCGTAGCACACCTCATACACCCTGTTCCATTCTAGGCCCGTCACCTCCGGGGGAGTAGAAAATGAAGATGCTGGACAGTAAAGCATTTAGATGCAGGACTGCCACATGACAAGCAAGGCGCATCAATAACATCGATATGTACAACTAAAGGCACTATGGTAAGAAACCATTTGGACTAGTCTGAGAATCTCATCAGATTCACTTCTAAATGGCTGATTTTGAGTATATGATGATTAGTAATTTAAGAAACTTACACAGTAACAAGGAAAAAAAAGACAAAATGGGGAATAATTCATCTCCAGGTGATATCACTTAAATTTGTTCTAAGTCATTCTGTGTTGTGAGAGTTAAACATCTGGATACTTAAAGGCTTAAAGATTATCAACATTCTTGACAAGTAAATAAGACAGGACAGACATGCTTCCGTCATGCTTCTCCATGATTAACAAGGAAACAGAAATCAAATAATCAAGGGATTTGTTAGATTACCTTTGGTCCAGGAAGTCCATGGGGTCCCTGAAAATCAAAAACACAGCTTTTAATTAAGAACTGATTCACTGTTTCCCAGCTGAAGTGATTACATAGAGTAACAAAAGAGATGTAAAACAAGAACCTTTTGTTTGAGCTATAGCTAGAGGCAGGCCAGTGGATGTTAATACCTAGTGGAAGTTCCTTCCAGCTTCTGGATTGCTCTGTCATAGGAAATTTATTAATAGCAATTCTTTCTGCTAAATGCCTGTGAGAGGGAGGGAGGAATCTGAAACTGTTATATGAAAGAAAAAAATGGGAAAAAAGTATTGTGAATCCACACTACTCCTATTTCTCAAATCCCCATTAAAAAAAATCTAGGTGGAAAATGTGAGATATTTTATGAATTTATATGGAATACAGATAGGTCTTAAAAGACAGGAATTTGCCAAAGAAAAGTCCTAGATTTTAAACACCAGTGAAGAGCAGGCCTTCTACATTACTAACTGCTCTAGACCCAGGTGTTGAGATAGAAAGAAAATGCAAAGATGATAGTCAAGTATGGAACTCTGTTGCATCATTTATTTAATTTAACACTAAGGAAAAGATTTTAATGCAGTAGTGGGGAGCGTTATTATTTAGAATGTATTTATTTTTGCAAAGATGAATTCTTCAAGGTTCTTGTAACAAATGTTTACCAGTGGAAGGAAGTCATAGCACATGCATAGATTGGGGCTTTTCCCCTGTATTTTGTAGAAAATCTAAATATAGAGAATAATTAGCCAACCTAAATTAGCTAAAGGTTCCTGTGAATTGCTTTAAACTTTTCAAGTAATTTAAATAAACTACTGGAGAGAGGCGTATTTAAATACCCATCAATAAAATCACACCACAGTAGGAAAATTTTTTTAACAAGCAATACATAGAAGTTTGTTACATATGTGTACATTGGAATAATATTTTCCCTTTAGATAAGTTGTGGATAAACATTTTCAGGAAATGTCTGATATTTTATCAAGTATTTTATATCATTTTAGCAATGATTTATAACTCTTTTAAACTAGTTAACTTACGATATGATCAGGATATTGTGTTTTTAAATTTAATCTTCTAACTTAAAGTGGAGGGAGTATAAAAAAAGCTAAAAGGCCTGGCCAGCATGGCTCAGTGGTTAAGCATCGACCTAGGATCCAGGAGATCATGGTTCGATTCCTGGTCAGGGCACATGCCAGGTTGTGGGCTCCATCCCCAGTGGGGGGCGTGACTCTCTCTCATCATTGATGTTTCTATCTCTCTCTCCTTCTCCCTTCCTCTCTCTGAAATCAATAAAGATATATTAAAAAAAAAAAAAAAGCCAAACATATGCTGTTTGCTTAAGTCTTAATAAACTGTTTAGTTTTTAAGAAAATAAGGTTAATTATAACTGTTTTGTGGGCGAAATAGAAATGGTAGTAAGAAGTAGATGATTGGGTCTGGGCTATGCTCTGTGGCTTGATCCTTCCAATGGTGCTCTTTCTTAGAGCTCAGTAGGAGGAGAGAGAGACCCAGAGTTTATTTAATCCATATGACTGAAGACATGTGGTTATTGAGACACTTAGATATGAATGCGAGCTTAGAGGCTGCTGGACTTGTCCCCATCCTGCCCCAGTCCAAAGCATTGGAAGCACCCGCCTTCCATGTTCCAGCCTCAACACAACCATCATTAGATAGACATTTGGAGAATTACACTGGTTTAAAAACTGTCTTCCTCACGGGCCCTAAGTTTCATGAGGACATGGTCATTGTCTACATTGGTCACCGAAGGATCCCTGTAGTAAATTCTGTATCTATCAAAGCACCATAGAGTGCAAAGGAAAAGATGGAAAATGTATGTCACCTGTGGAAGTGAGCTTCAATTTTTATCATATTATTTTATAAATGTTCTAAGTGAACATTTCATTAGAGGATCTTAATCTTCAAAGTTGGTTAGAAACATTCATTAATGGCTACAATTATTAATCTTGTTTTGCTACCGATGGTCCAGAACAGTGTTTAAAATGATTTTCCGATGTTCCCCTTGTAAGGTTATGAAGCTTGCCAAATCTGTCTGTCTACAGCTTTCCTATCACAAAACTACTCTATCTCCTTCCCACAGACGTGTTTGGGGGAGTGAAAGACAACACTGTAAAGTCAGTTCAGCTCAAAGCACCTCGTATTTTCTGTCCATTCCACAGAGAGTAGTAGGAAATACAAGCTGGCTGTTTTGAAGAATGCGCTCATGTTTTCCCTAGTAGCGTGCTCATAAATAAATGATTACATTTTGGAGAGAAGAGAAACTTACCATGGGGCCTGGTGGACCATGGGGACCTGGTGGGCCTGGTGGGCCTATGATCTGTATGTCCAAAAAATAAACATGGATTTGGTTACTTCATTTAGATAAGGCAGTTTGGCTTAAATCTTTTGCTGGGGTTCTGTTAAGGTCATTAATAGTTGCAGAAAAGGAAGGATACTGGAAGAAATGATGTGTTTGATTCTCTAGGTTTAGAAATTCCTTTATGAGAACAAAAAAAAAAGTTTAAAAATACAGTTCTTTTACAAAAGCCAGAATAAATCAGAAGTACATTAAAAGAAAAGGAAGCAACTGATTACCAAGAAATGCTATAATGCCACAACCACTATTAAACTCTCCAGTATTTCACTAAGCAACAATAGGGCTCTGGAGGAAAAAGAGAACGTATGTTCTATATCCACAAAGCTCTACCCACAGGCGTCATGGGAAAACCATTGATTTTTTCCCCAGGTTTAGACAGTCCTCTGAAAAATTGCTTCTCACTGAGACCTCTGAGACATTTTGTCTCTCATTGTACGAGGCCGACAGATATTTATTGTACAGTTTGACAAACCCAGAGGTTCATGGTCTTTCCACTGTTGATAAGCCATCTGGCAGAGGCTGAGCTGGATGAATAATAGGCCCATTTCAGAGCTTTTCAGGAACCGTGGAAGTTCAGCCACCACAGACTTACAGAAGGGCCCTGAGGACCTGGCAATCCGGAGTCTCCTTTCTCTCCTTTCATTCCGTTGGCACCCTACAAACAACCATTAAGAGAGTTGAGCTGGTCAAGTTATTTCCAAAGTGTAAGGAACAGCTGAATTTCCTCCCAAAACCCATCATCTTCTTGAAATTTTTATATTATACTCATGATATGTGAAAGAAGGACTTAACCTCCTGCATTCTAGCTTCCCCAAATCCCCAGGCCGTGGGTGACATGTGAAATAAAATACAAAGTAAATGTAAACTAAGTTAGGCTTGATTGGCTCAACTTACACACTTCTGAGCATATAATAATATAAATGTTATATTTTTTATGGTGGTGTTCACTTTAAAAGGCAAAGGTCAGTCTTTTAACTACGTTGTCATTAACATTTATTTATACACTTCCTTGTTTTAAAAAAATTGAAGACAGTGAGGTTTTCTGCATTTTTTCCCTACATTTTTCTACAATTTCCCCTCCCAATTCTAGTAAAAATTATGGGGGTGGGGGGATCATAAAGACACCATCCCATAGTATCATACACATAAAGAGAAGACTTTCCAGGGTAATTTGTTTTTTAATTGTTTTGCATCTTTTGGTTTATTTTTTAATTATGGCTTATTTAAAACTGATCAGTTATCACTATCTTATGCATACTAAATTAAAGTGAACAACTTTATTTTTCTATCTTCTAGTGAAACTAATTCAGGAAAACACAAAGGTTTATTTTATAATTCATTTGTTTAGCTGCTTTAAAATTTGTTGTAGAGCCCCAGTTGCAGTAATTAACCAATAATACCTCAAATATTTAAAAATTAGAATATTATATGAAGCATTAGATGAGACTGCAGCTAATAATAGAATTCTTTTCTGATTATTTATCTTAATAGGAACACATAAACATACCGGTAATCCGGGAAGTCCGATTCCTCCTTTTTCACCTGGCATACCTGGGTCCCCCACGTCTCCCTTTGAGCCTTTGAGCCCCTACAAATGATATGGTTTGCATGTAAGAATCATACTGACCCTTGGCAGTTACATCCTAGGGAACACAGAATTCCAGAGCAATTTTGCCAACAGGTAGGTCCTATGTAAAGATGATTCTGATTTTCATTTCTAAGTAGAGTTATTTCTAGTAGCAACCTTCTACATTGAACCAACACTATTTCCCCGTGTAACAGAAGGGATTAAATTCTACCACTTAGGCCATATAGGTATGAAAAACATGAATTTAGGTGTTGACATCATTTCTCCAGATTCCATATTCATAGCTGGCAGCTAATTCTACATCACTGGTCCTGAAAAAAATTTAATGGATTTAATTCTGGTTCAATACACATTTGAACCAGAACCTAGCGTTAGAATAAAAAGGTCCAAAGGAATTTCTCCCATCTCCCACTACATCCCCTCTAGCCCCTTTAAATGCAGAAGTTCCAGTCACCCTCAGTGTTCAATGGTCTGATCTATAGACGGTAAATCATTCACTGCACGCTAATGCTCGGAAATGCTTAGAAATACTTCAACTTGCTCTTATTGGTGTTCTCAGGACATCTCTGTGAGGTGATCTGGGGTGTTATTTTTACTTGCCTTTTACTACGAGGAAAAACATAAAGGTATCTTTTGAATGCTAACAACTCTGAATCATTGACACTAATACTGAGTCATTAAGTATTTTCATGGAAGGAAATGCACTCTTCTCATTCCTCAGAACTGCTTCCTCCATGTAATATGCCCAGGTGGCCTGCTCACCAGCAGAGATAATCACAGTTATTACAGTAAGGGGCTCTGAGGCTGCATAGCCTGTTCATCTTTTCTACACTAAAAACTACTTGTGGACAGAAATGTGTCTTTTCTTGTTACTT